ATGCTCAGAGCTTGCATTCTGGATAGAGGTGCCAAGTGGGAGAAGTGGTTACCATTAGTAGAGTTTGCCTACAATAATAGTTACCACGCATCAATTCAGATGGCTCCCTACGAAGCACTTTATGGCCGTAAGTGTCGTTCGCCCCTTTATTGGGACGAGTTGGAGAGAGTCGAGTTCTTGGTCCAAAGATGATCGAGGAGACAGTTGAGCAAGTAGCCTGGATTCGAGAAAGGCTAAATACTGCTCAGAGTCGGCAAAAGTCTTCAGCCGATAAGCATAGAAAAGAGATGAAATTTGAGGTAGAAGATAAAGTATTCTTGAAAGTTCGACCGATGCGAGGTGTCGTTCATTTTCGGAAGAGAGGTAAGTTGCATCCTCGTTATATAGGTCCATTTGAAATTTTGGAGCGAGTAGGAGAAGTATCTTATCGCTTAGCTTTACCTCCTGAGTTGTCAAGTGTGCATAATGTTTTTCACGTATCGATGTTACGTGCTTACGTGTGCGATCCAGAGTATATGCTTCAGCACAATGAGATTCAGATTCCGTCTGATTTGACTTACGAGGAGCAGCCGGTAGCAGTTTTGGACCGAAAGGTTCATCGGCTCAGGAAGCGAGATATTCCCCTCGTTCGTATTAGATGGAATCGTCACGGAGAGTCAAATGCCACTTGGGAGCGGGAGGCTGATATTAGAGCTCGTTTTCCAGAATTTGAGTTTTGATATGTACTCAGAAGGTATGTATCTCAGTTTCAGTATTTCCGAGGGCGGAAATAGTTTTAAGAGGGTAGATTTTAATATCCCTATTAGTTATTAATAAGGTATCAGTATTTGTTCCAAGATTTGATTAATTTTGAGGCTAAGTATTCCAGTTATAAGTTCGAAATTAAGAGTTTTTCAAGAAACAAGCCACACGAGTCATGTGGAGTGAGCCACACGAGTCGTGTGGGAGGAGAAGAAGAGGATAGTTAGCTTCGGCTTTTTCACACGAGTCGTGTGATAAGACACACGAGTCGTGTGGAGTCACACGAGTCGTGTGACCTTATCCACACGAGTCGTGTGACCGATAGTAAGGTGTGATTATTGAGAATCTGATTGTGATCTCAACCAGAGGCATTTTTGAGGATTAACTATGTATTTGAGAAGTATACAAGTTAGTCATTAACTAGTTTATGTTTATTATGTTTATAAGTTTAATTTGTTTATTTTGTTCATTTCTTCACTCCATTATGAGGTCTTGCAAATTATGCCTATAAATAGAGGCCTAAAATTCAGAGTTTTTACACCAAAGAGAATTACCAAAAGTTATATAAGTTTGTAAGAGAGAATAAGTAGTAGAAATTTTGGTCAAGTGAAGAATTTGGAAGTGAAGAACCAAGTTACGATTCTAGCAAGAATGAGGTAATTTATTTATCCTAAAGTTTTCTACTAAATTTCATGCTTTGATAATGAGTTTAGATGATTATGAGTATGTATATCATGATTTAGAAGTTGAGTTTATAATTGATCCTATGAATACAAGGAGTTAAAGTTGTTTCAAGATCAATTGTATGATATATGTGCTTGTTTGAATGAGATTTTGATAAAGATAAGAATAAGCTGGAAAAGTATGATTTGCATGAGTAATTCTTGTGTAAAATACAATGTTATGAGAACCGGACCAGTCATTGAACCGGTGAAGCTACTGGTTCATTGGTTCACTGGTCGGACCAATGGTTGAACCGGTTGAACCGATATTTTATTAATTAATAATTTTATGTATAATATATACTTTAAACAATAATATATATTAATAATTAAATATTTAAATCATTTAAAACATACAATCATTAACTAATAAATATAACATATATTCAATATATTTAAGTATGTATTGTTATTATTGTTAAAATAATGTCTTAATATATTAAAATTATTAACCATGATTTATTAAATATTAAACCTTAGTAATTTAAACACACTCAATTCTAAAACCAAGGCCAAGGAATAATAAAAATAAAAATGTTAATGTCAATTTTGTCCTAAACTACATAAAAGAGTTGAAAATAAATAAATTAATTAAAAATAAAAAAAACTATATAAAAGAGTTGTGATATAAAATAACCACAAAGCCCAAGTTTAAGTAAAAGAGGCACATATAACTCTTTAGATTCAAACCATACATGATGTACAATAAAAAGAATTAGGGCTAGATGGCTTACAATTCATTCAATCGCCGCCTACTCCTTTTCTTTCTTTCTGTTTTTTTTTAGTCTTCTTTGTTTTGCGCTGTTCATCTCTATTAATGCCCACTTTTTGTGCTTTAAGATGTTGGATTCGGGTTGGGAGCACTGGTATCGGGGTGTAGTCACAGCTGAGCATAAGCGCGAAAGGACGATTACATCCAAATTTGAAAAGAGTTCACAAATTAATGTTCTTCAATTTGGTTTCGATCTTTATGTGCTTTTTTAAGGTTCTTTGAGCTCTTTTTTCAGTTTTATGGTTTTGTATTCATCCTCAAAAAAACTGAAATGATGGTGATTTAGAAGACCGGCGACCCGCGAGAACCAGGTCCGGGTCACCGGTTCGCAGGGTTCTCGACCGGTTTGAGCGGTTTCCTACCGGTTTCATATCTGAGCGATTGAATTCCTTGATCCGGACCGGTATACTAGTCGGTTCCCGGTCGAACCGGCCGGTCCGGTCCGATTTTCAGAACATTGGTAAAAGAGGAGTATATGAGAACAAAATTGAGTTATTTGGCATAGTATAACTTAAGTTATAGAGTTTTTAAGATGAACATGTAAGCTGAATTTTATGTTCACTGTTTTAGATGTGACTTTAAATTCTAATAACTTGATGTATATGCATGTTAAAATTATGAATTTTTTATGACATGTCTACTTATGAGTTAAGAATATGACTGTTAAAATTTCATGATTTAAAAATGAGAAATGAATTAGTTAAGATAATTAGATGGCATATATGTAAAGATGAGTATATATGCAAGAATATGCATTATATGTTCAAGTTGTTAAAGTGAGATTTTTATGAATAATTCTCATATAAGTGATGAAAAATTTGACAAAGTTTTAGTTTAATATGTTGAGTATACAATTTTATAAAGATTGTTTTAAATCTCTCATATTAATATCATGATTAAGTGTTATGATTAAAGTTGAGTATGTTTTGAGATAATTTTCACTTTCAAGTTATTTAAGTGAAAAGTGTGTATAAGTCAATATCTAAGATTTGGGAGATATGATTTATATGAGTTAAGTAATTGATTGAGTAAAAGATCAAGAAAAGTTAAGTTTGAGCAATAGCATTTTCTACAAGATTTGGATAAGTTATCCGAAAGAATTAAGAATCCCTGTATCTTATTGAGTATACGAGCATAGTACTTAGTATATTTGTTTATATTTTGATGTAGCTTGAGGAGTTAGCTACTAGAGAACAACACTTACGATTTTCAAAAGAAGAAAAGTGGGGACCCAGCCTGGGTATTACATTGAGTATAATATTGATATCATGTCTGAGGTATGTATACAGTTTAAGTTTATACGCTTGGGATGAGAAGACATTCAGTTGTCTTAGAGTATATCCTAAGTTCTGATGGAAGCCGTTTGAGTTGCCTTGAGAAATATCTATCAGATTGTGCACAAGTATCCGATCAGATATCGGCCATATTCATTTTCAGTTACTGGAACAGATTTTCAGTCAAGATATATACCAACGATCATGGTATTGTATTATTATTGTTGTTTACTTTAGTTATGGGTGATTTCGGGGTACAAGAGGATCAATACTCACCCCCATTGTGTTTTTCAGGTAACAGGGTCGGGCCAGAGGTGTGAGCTCGTGAAATAGTGGTGGTGGTCGTGCACTTATTTCAGTGGACATTTATTATGGATTTGATATGTCTGTATAATAAATCACGTTTTCAAGTATTTCCGCTATGCATATTAGGACTTGAACTTGCATTTTAATGAATTTCAGTTTTCAAGTTTTTACTATTCAGAAGTATGAATATGGTACAGTTAAACGCAAGTTATATAAATCTATTTTCTTTATGTCTAAAGAAGTATTAGACAAAGTTTAAAGATAACGGATTTTCAGAAAAGATGAGTTTGAGTAGCATCCCGAGTTAGTCGCAAAAGATTCAAAAGATTTATAAGTATTTTCGAAGTAAAAGTTGCGAAAAAGTTACTCTGATGCGGGTGTTACAGCTTTAATTTATATCATGATGCCTTTGAAGATTTATTAGAGAGGTTAAGTTTACCACTTTCCATTCACTGTTCACATTTATCAATAGCATATAAAAGAAAGAACAAAATTGAACACACCCCATTCCATATCGTCAAATAGATGTATTAATCTACAGTTTAAAATATTAGTTACATTGAGGATTATGAATCATAAAGTTAATTTTCTCTTCTCATTCATTCAAAGACAATGCAAATTTACATTTGTCCTAATAAATCGGTCACTATAAAACTCTATAGCGTTTTGCACCAAAATAAATCACCTCAACCAAGCATCACATCTCACACTTTAATCGATGATATATGGTGCAAGTTTGCATTTTACTTTTTGTTTGATCTTCTAACCTTAACCTTAATAATAATAATAATAATAATAATAATAATAATAATAATAATAATAATAAGAAGAAGAAGAAGAAGAATTCTAACAAATGTACCAATAAATATCATTCCATTGAGAACTCTACTTGAAATTATATTTCTAAAGTAGGGTGGTGCTCAAGTCTCTCCACACATGCAAGTACCCATTTTATCAAACGAGAAATTAAAAACAAAATTAAGTAGAAAACACTGAATGCAAAGCGAGATGAAGCTTGAGAGTTAATCAAAAAATTTGGGCGAAAAAAAAGAGGGAGTACATTGTTTATTAATTTTCACCTGAAATTATTTCATTAAGCAAGCTCTCTCTCAAGGAGTACAATT